ATGGGCCTGCCTGCCTATCCCCACGGCATCGCTACCGCTGTGGTGTCTGAGTCTCCCATGAGTGGGATCCCACGTCCGCCTGCGCAAAGGCGTGGCAGGGGAAGGTTACAGGTGATGACCATCACCGCACCTGTGTCATTACCTCAGCCCTCGGTCTAGCATATCAGACAGTCACGGGGTCCAGCATATCCATTTTTAGACCCTTTTCCCCAGATACACTGCTTCCTGGTTCCTGTTTAGCTGTTCTGAAATACAGCGTGTAAGTCAGAACCCATCTACCAGCGGTGGTCATGAGAGGGGAAAGGGACCTTATAAACAAGGTTTTGTGTTGTGTGACACCAGTTTACATATGAGAATATCACTCAGATGGTCAGTTTCTGACTGTCACGAGAAGGGCAACTGTAAACTGGAATAATAATGCACTTGCAACCAGGTAAACTTAGATACGCTAGTTTGTTTAAAAATTATAGATTTACTGTACATGACTTGTAATATACTATAATTTGTATTTGTAAAGAGATGGTCTATATTTTGTAATTATTGTACCGTATTTGAACCACAGCAATATCCCTGGGTCCTAATAATTGTAGTTCCTTACTGAAATCTAGAAATTATTAGTATTTTTACTTGGGATATACAGTAGAAGAAATAGAGCCAATTCTCATTTATTCAGTGAAAATCCTTTGGGGGTAAAATTTTGAGTTCAAAAGAACTTGACACTCCAGAAATTTTTCTAAAATATTTTGAGTCATTGTACGTGTAAACCTATCTTTACACAAGATATACTAGATGACTATTTGCAGTCTTCTTTGGGCAAGAGTTCTAGGATTTTGATATCTTTGCTCCATGGTAGGTTGCAGGTGTTTTTTGTTTCAATAACGCCCTGGTGAGTAAATGACAGAGTAGATGGAGCTGGCTACTCTTCCCCGTGGCATCCAAGGCTTTGGTTTTCTTGGCTGCCCACATGGGATGTTTTTTGCATCTCTGGTGCAGAAATAATCACACAGGTGAATGAAGTACGTCCACTCTTGCCCCCTAGGGACTGGTTTTGCTTAAGTAAGGGGGTGGGGTGGGGGACAGAGGGAGCAATGTGGTGACCTGTAGGATTAGAACGTGGGAGTCTGTACACATCGTATTGTTGCCTTTCACAAAACACTGCTGTACTGTGTGTTCTCTTTGAGGGCTTTAATATGCAATCGGATGAGGGCTGACGTTTTCATTAGAATGCACTCGCACTCCCTTTGTCCTGATAAAAACCCACTTTTGGATAATTAGAACCATCAAGGCTTCTTTTTTCTGTCAACAGATTATGCTGATTTTCTCAAGTTACCTTGGCAAAGATATCCTGTGATCCAAAAGACAGGTAGCAGTTTTGGTTCAAAATTTTTAAATAGAACATAGACAACCCGGTTTTTTTGTTTGTTTGTTTGGTTTTTTTTTTTTTTTTTTGTAAATAACACCCACTTTGTTATGAAGACCTTACAAACCTCTTCTTAAGACATTCGTACTCCAGATCCAGGCAAAAACACTTCAAGGTTTGTAAATGACTATTTCCTGACATAAATCCTTTTTTATTAAAATGCAAAATGTTCTTCAGAATAAAACTGTGTAATACTTTTGTCATATATGGGAGCTCTCCATGCACAGAGCTGGCATTTGCCAGTGAGAGCTTCTGAAGGGGCAGGCACTCTGCGAGGGCAGTTCTGTAATTACGGAGATTCTCTTACCTTCCCGGCTCCTTCGGTGCCAATAGTAACTTAATACCAGCTGCAGGGAGTACCATTTCTCCAAAAGGGCTACACCACTGTCAACATTATCTTGGACTCTGTGTCTCTCTGTTGGGTATTGGTCTTACTGTGTGGCTTTAACATCAGGCCAAAAATTGCCATACCAGCATCTGGTGTGGTGGTGACCTTTTCCAAAGTCAGTCCTTAAAAACTGGCATTTTTACAGGCTGCCCCACTTCCTAATATCTGTCTGCTTTAAGCCTGGTTCAACCTCTCATCTAATATTAAATTTTTCTTTGGAAGAAAAATTTGATGTTGTAGAGCATGTTTGTTTTTTTTCCCCCCTTTAGGAAAGTTTTACGAATAAATATCTCTCCTTTTTGGTTTCCCCTCCCCCCAAAATAATTTTTTATCCACAGGAAGAGTACATTTAGTTTCTTCAATCCTTTGTTTTTCATAATCTCACAAAATGGAAATGGCAGTTATGATTTTAATCATCAGCTGACAGTGAAAACCTCATGAAGAACCATCTCTGCTCGGCGTACAGACTTGATTTCCACCCAAACAGCTGGACCCTTGCTTAGCCAGGTAGCAGCTCTCCTAAGAAGCTTTAGAGCTGGAGGCCAGGCTGTGAGGACTCTGAGCTCTGGCTGCACTGGACAGGGTTTGGGTCTCCTGCACCATGCCCCACCCACTTTACTTTCACGTTGCGTGCTTTTTCAGACTTCTGTGTCTTAGCCAATTGTGTTGGCTTTTAGTGTTCTGAGTGAGGGGCTGTGGGTTGATTTTAAAAACTGGCTAGCAATAGAGCTGACGATACACAGAGCCCCAGCTGCCCCCTGCCCATCCCAACTCAAAAACTGAGTCCAGCTGCTTTCATTTGTCAAAAGGTTTTTATTTCTCTAAAATGATCTCTCTCCTCCTCTTCTGGAGACTGGGAGAACAAGAGAAAGAGGAGGAGCAGGCCTAGGCACTGGCTTCCAGTGTTAGGACAGGAGTGACAGTGTGGTCTGGGATGGCCTGATGCAGCAAAGAGTACTTTTTTCTGATTTTTAAGAGAAAAAAAAATGTATGTATTTAATCTCATATTAAGTTGGATTAATCAATGGAAAATAAAATAATTTCTGGGATTAGGACAAGGTTAGGCTAGAGAGAAGAATCCACTTGAATTTATGGGAGTTACTGTGCCTGTGCCGTCAGCAGAAAGGCCCCATGTCTGGGCGCCCACAGCCCCGGGCATGCTGCCGGTGCTCCGCGCCCCCATGCAGCCTGCCAGGCCCTGCCATAGTCTCCTTTATTCCACTAGAACAGCCTCCTGCTGACGCAGCAGCGCACCCATGGGCTTCTTCAACAGGGCAGGGCTCTCTGGGCCCTGGGCACACTACAGCTGTTGTGCTCTTTCAACCATTTTATTTTACAAAGTACCTTCTTCTGTTTTTAGCTATTTCAACTTTTTGCAAAGTAACCCACTCCCCACAAGACGGTAGCGGAGCTTCCACTCAACCCACACTGGCTTCCTCAGCTGCAGCCTGTCTGGGGCTAAAAGCTCCCCCCACGGCAGGAGAATTTTCAGACAGGTTCTGGACATGCAACACTCACTGTTTTTTGTTTGTTTTTTTCTCGAAGCTCATTTCCATGTATGGCTAAATTGTGCAATTGAGTGGAATGCACCTCAATATTCTCGGGCAAGAGGGGGCCTGGACACCATTGAGTAGCGTGATGGACAAGCTCCTTTTATCACGTCATTTTTTTTTTTTTGGGACAGTCTCACTTTGTCACCCTCAGTAGAGTACTGCAGCATCATAGCTCACAGCAACCTCAAACTTTTGGGCTCAAGCCATTCTCTGGGCTCAAGCCATTCTCTTGCCTCAGCCTCCTGAGTAGCTGCAACTACAGGTGCCCACCACAATGCCCCGCTATTTTTAGAGATGGGGTCTTGTTCTTGCTTAGGCTGGTCTCCAACCCATGAGCTCAGGCAGTCCACCTGTCTCAGCCTCCCAGAGTGCTAGGATTATAGGCATGAGCCACCTCTCTCAGCCCCTCATTTTGCTTATGTTAAAATACAGCTGCTGGCCTGAATTTACCATTGTCTCAGAGGCTGACATGCCACACGATGCAGAGATGGCAGAACTAATGATCACCGGCCACATCCATGTCCATACAAGAGAGGAAGGGTCAGCACCGTCATGGTTTGGCCTGGGATGCCCCCTTACACATGCCTAACTTTGACTTCTCACCCCTTACCCAAATCAACACATGCTCTCTGACAGTGTGGGGCCCCCCCAAATGGCTCCCCAGCAGCCGCTCCAAGACCCAGAGGGCTGTGGGGTAGCAGCTGTGGGCATCTTTAGCAGTCAATCTAAAATGCGTTTAGTTCCATTACCTTGTAGGAACAGTGTGGATAAGACATCTCAATTCAAAAATAAGCTACTAGATCACATTACTGAATCATGAGAAATTTAAAAATCAAAGAGCTATGTAAATGCTACTTGTATCTGTTTTTACCCCAGTTTCAGCTCCATCCTGGCCTATCTCCAGGGACATCTAGAGAATAGGAATTAACTAGCCCTGTCCACTGCTGGGGGTGCTGGCTCTGGGTCGTTTCCCAGGGCTGACATGAAAGAATTCTCTCTCAGGCTAGCCACTTCAGTAGGAAGCCAACATCTGGTATGTGGAGTTCACTTTGCATTTCCTGGTAATAGGAAAATCTTTTAAAATGCTAAATCATGAAACCTTTGGTAGTGAAGCCAAGTGGCATTCCCTCCAGACCCCTCTCTTTTTAATGAGGTTCAGAAATCCTCTCATCATGGCTGATCGTGTTTAATTTAAAGAACCAGCGCATGGAAGAAGTGGGCTATAGCCCCTCAGTGACCTAGCAGGGCCCCAGTTACCCACCTCACTGGGTGGCAGACTAGGAAGTGAGAGAACAAGAAAAGCTCACTTTTCTGCCAACAGACAAATTCCCCCCTGAACAGGGACACTGAGGAGTTATGTGAAGCTCAAGCTAAGTACTGTGTGATGCTGCTGAAGCGGGAGGACGCGTCTGGGAGGTCTGGGAACCCAGCACCCGGCTCTCACGGGACTGCCCAAAGAGAGAGGCCTGGGAAAGGACCACTGCCCTCCAGGCAGCAGGACCCTGCATTGGCACCCTGTGAACACAGGACAAGGACATGGCAGGAGTGACCTCCCAGGACAGAGGGAGGAGAGGCCTCAGCCTGAATCCTGGCTTTCCCCCAAGGGCCCACAGGGAAACACCAAGAACAAGGAGCTTGATTCTCTGCCTACCACCAGTCTTGTTTCTCAAGAAATTCTCCAGTTCTCAGCCATGTAGCAGGGTGCCTCCCAAGTTCTAATGTTCTAGACAGTTAAAGGAAGGAGATTCGGAGCAAGGGCTGTGCTGGCCCTCTTAGCTTGTCAGGGGGCAGTAATGGCCTTAACGCTGGGTGTCCAGGGTCCTGGGCTTGTAGACAGGGACATCTTTGTCGCACAGTGAAGGCCGCCCCTTAATAATGTCAGCTGCTTTCTCTGCAAGCATGATTGTGGGGGCATTCAGGTTGCCGCTGACTATGCTGGGCATGATGGAGGCGTCGATGACCCTGAGGTTTTCCACCCCGAGGACTCTGGTCTGTGGATCCACCACCGCAGTGGGATCAGAGGGCTGGCCCATCTTGCAGGTGCATGAGGGGTGGTAGGCACTGTCGGCTTTTGCCCGCACAAAGGCATCTATCTCTTTATCTGACTGAACATGGCTTCCTGGCAGGAGCTCTTCCCCACGGAATGGAGCCAGGGCTTCCTGTGACAAGATTTCTCTGGAGTGCTTCACACACAGACGGAAGCCCTCGATATCAGATTCTGCAAAGGAGAAGAAACAGGTGAAACTCCCCCTCTACATGGTGACCTTACTGAAGGTTCATGGCATAGAGAGGCTCAATAAGCTGCCTGAGAAGACAAGAGTTTGAGGGTGAAGTTCAAGGACATGGGTGCACTGAGGCCCCAGGTTCTTGTTACCTGCCCATTGGTGGTTAGGCTATAACCAAGCAGAGTCCTGGGTAGCACAAAGACAGCAGCCTAGGGTGGTGCCTGTGCCTCAGCGGGTAGGGTGTCAGCCCCATATACCGAGGGTGGCAGGTTCAAACCTGGCCC